TGCTCTCCACGATGCAGCTGTAGAAGTTGCTGAGGATCTTGGTTGACATACCAAATTTCCTCAGCCTCCTCAGGAAGTACAGCCACTGTTGAGCCTTCTTTACCAGCTGTGTGGTGTTCAGTTATGGGAGGTATTTTCTGCAAAAAATAAAATGAAAATGATAAAAAAGAAAATACAATCTCCACTTTGCCATTTACTTTCCAAAGTATGTGCGCAAAAATCCTGCAAAAATTAAAATTATGATGATGTAGGATCACACATGCACATATCACAGGGCGTAAATTCCAGGTCCTTACATATCACTCACCCAACAGACGAACACCCTAAAGGAAGTTTCATTTAAGTTTGGCTTTTGTATGCCCTGTATATTGATTTGCTCACGACTACTAGTCTCAATATACAGACAGATAGATTATGTTTGTATGTGTCCTTAGACAATCTTAGTGTTTTGTGTGCCACCCTTATAACCATGTTCACGGAGTATCACCTATTTTACCCCTTTGCACTTGAACACATATAAATTTAAATAAATAGATAGGTATAGCAACCATTGTATATATGTTCTCATGGTATACCAGAAGAATCTGGAAAATTAGTGTAACCAATGTTTTAGAGAGTCTTCTTTGTTAAAACCCCCCTTTCTCTTCCAACATTCCTTTGTGGTCCTTATCTGACCAAGTTTCTTTGTTCTAACATGCTATGTTAAAAGAACTGAATTATGGTGTATCTTATCCATTCTGGAGAAGATCAATTGGCATAAGCCACACGAAACAAAATATGTTGCTTCCAGATGTGCAACTTATATTACCACAAACTAACGGCCACGCCTATCTATGGATAAGACGTGCTGTTTGGAATATGAATATTTGATGTAATATCTGCACAAAGTGTAACTTCTGTTGAGGTGCAACCCAAAACACCTGTATCCTATACTGATGTGAATCAGTCACATAGATAAAATAATTAATTGTTAATCAATTAATGCAGATGGTATGAGCTATGTACCTGTGAAGCTGGTATGGCATGTTTGGTGTCAAACTGATGGAAAATCACTCCTGATTCCAAATCTAGTCAGTGATTACCATAAAAGTGGATGTATCAAAAGTTATAACAGCTTAATGAAAATCATCAGTAAAGGGAGAATCAGTCAAGTCATAAATCCCAAAAGGACTGATACAGACCCCCTTCCAAAAGCCCGCCAAATGGATGGCCAGCCATTGGGCCAGGAGTCGAATTCCTGGTCATCCCTATTCATGAACTTTAGAGCATAAAACCCTGGCAACTCAGAACAAAAGGAGAACAACCATTAGCCCGAGGGAGAACAACCATCAGCCGGGGCAAACAGATCATCAAGCGCAGAACGACCATCAGCAGCGCAGAAAAGACCATCAGCCCGGGAGAAGAGAAGCCCACAAGAAGTCCTCCGGTGAAGGCCCAGCTGAACAGAGAACAGCACCCAAGACAAAGCTTCACCAGGAGAGAGAATCCAAAGGGGCTCCAAACGCCGCGCCTTCCTGAGTGCCATCAGCTCAGCAGCTCTGCCATCAACTGCCAAGACCCCCCCCCCCCACACTCTTCAACCAAGTAAACCAACTTCCTTTCATTCTAACAACTTAAGCTGTTCTGTTAACCTGCTATAAGACTTTAGGGTCGTGTTTCCACAAACTGTGCTTGCTTTGCAGAACAGTATTTCCCATTTAAGGTTACTCATTTAAATCCGGTCATTGCATTTTCATAATTACATCGTTTGTTTTATTCCGTTATTTCGTGTTTGTTGTTTGTGTTAGGTGTAACGTCTGTCTTATGTTAGTTGTAGTGTTAGCTAGGAATAAATGCATGTCTTTTACACAACTTCAGCCTCCGTCATTGAGTGTTCACAATAAGTCCCTGCCTCTGTGCGATCTTGCTACACGCTCTGAACCTCAAACTCGCCTGAAACATCGCGAGACTCTCTCTCATCGGCCGTGAGGGGAGCTTCGCTACCAATCGTTTACATTACCTGGTGATGCAGCTCTCTGGACGAGCCTTCTAACCCAGGTTACTAAGCGATACTGGTAATTAGTGAATCCCATTTAAGTCTCAAATTAACAGACTCACAGGGATACCGCAATTGAGTTTGGAGGAGCCGACCATTCGGCATAACGATTGGTTAATAATCAGCATTGAATAATAATTAATTAAACTTTAATTAATTTCAAACATATTGGTGGAGATATTAAAAATTACCTGAGCTACTCTCTGTCTCGCCAGGCATCAGAGTTCCTGAGAGAGCACTAGCAGCTGAGGGTGGAGCTAGGCTATGGAAGCAGAGCTAGCACAGTCCCCTTCCCCCGCTCCTGCAGATCATCCAGTCCCATGAGGTCCCACAGTAGCAGTTCTGCCTCACAACCTGGCAGATGTCACTGTGTGGTTCTTCTCTTTTAGATGAAATACTAAAGGAGGACCATCTGAGCTGCTTGGGGCAGCCTGATCCTCTGAGCTATGGTGCCTCTAACATGTCCAGTCAGCTGCTGAGTTCTTTAGACCCTGCTTCTCATCTGGGGTAGATGGACCTTCATGGATGAGACAGACACTTCAAGATGCTGTTTCTTCCTCCACTTCAAAGCTCATACTAATCAATGTGTTTGTTCTAAGCTTGTAAGCAGCTTTAGGGAGCTGGTCTTGTCTGTGGAAATACTGTATATCGGAAACAGAGCCTTAATAAAGATATTTTATTTTGAACAAATGGCTGATGTGATTCTGTGGTCATCAGTGGGGGCCAGGGGGAGGGACTAACTCCCATTCAGCAACCAAATCCATGGTTCAAATTACGGGGGGTACTGTACCCCCCGATCAAGACCCAGACCCCCCCAAAGAGACAAAAATAGCAGTTTGGGGGGGGTCTTAAAATGTTTCTTTTGTTGTAAAGTTTAAAAAAAAGGATAACCTCACTTTGTAGGAAGATGTTATGTAAAACGATTTCAAACACCCCTAATGAGGACCGTACCATTTTAACCACCTCGGCGCTAGAAGCAGCCAGTCGGTTGCGTCATTCATTCTCATTGAGTGACCTGTTCATTGTGTTCGTCTGTCATGGTACTGTTTGTCGTGCATTGGTAAATGTAAGTAGCCAGCAGGAGTCTTGCCTGTTGAAAATGTGTTATTTTACAACCTTCATTATTCGTTTAAGTGTTTCATCTACTAATGCAAGCTGACGTCTTTATAATTTGAATTACTTGCCATTGTCCTTCTGAGGCCGGTGTTCTGTCGAGTTGAGCTACTTTGTCGAGGTAAGCTACGGTAGTGCTAATCGATAGCCCTAACAATTGCTGACCTCGACAAAGTAGCTCAACTCGACAGAACACCGGTACAGTCAACGTTAGTTACGTTAACTAGCAAGATAAGCTAAGTTCTCTATTTAAAGCAGGCTTATTTGGTAAGGTAAAATCAATCATGATCATTTTCCAAGGAGATGAACTTCCTATGTTTTCATTCTCATTTTATCATGAATAAATTGTGCCTTTCTGAAATTAATTCACCACTTAGCCTGTGTGGTTTGTTATTAGGCTAATGTTAATGCATAAGAAGGTCTAACGTTATGCTCTGAAAAAACATTACTATAAGTGAAACCTATAGGGGCAATGTAAAAAAACTAGCTAGCAAATAAGCCCTATTATTTGAATTTTAGTGGTATTGATTCTGCATTCCACAATTTCATATTTATGAACATTTTTAGAAGCTTCATCTGATAGCCCAGATACTGTTTTGTTAAACATAGATTAGATTTTATTCACAGACACACTATGAGGAAAAGGAAAAACGGAGACATCAGACCCTTTTTTGGTGGTAAAAGAAGAGTAAGTAGGAAATATTAGTGTTAAGAGCTACAGAACATTACACTAAAAGTATAGGTGCAGTTTTGCAAACTGTTAATGTGTATGAAGGAAAGTGGTGGTCAGCAGAAGGCAGAGGAGACACAGGAGCAGAGAGATGGCAGGATGAGGACAGTGAGCAGGCAGCAGGAAGATGGCAGGATGAGGACAGCGCACAGGACCAAGAGGTGAGTTAGAAATTAGCCTGTACTTTAAGATCTACTGTATCATCAAGACATATATTAGCCTAATAGGCAAATATTTATTTCTGAAGGCTGTTGGAGCTGGGGGGACTGAGAGGGCAGGAATAACACCAGACTGCTGGACCAGACCAGGCTGTTTGTAAATGTATAGGCTTATTACTTTTACTAGTATACTTCTCCTAGGATAATTCCTGGGAGTTATCAAAACCAAAATCTTTTGGATTGGGATAAGGATAATGAGATCTTCTGTATTTATTCTCATTTTATCACATGTCCAGACCATGACCGTGTGTTGCATACATGTTAGTAAACACCCCTGGCGCATCTTGTACTCTTAACATTGATCTTGGTGGCGACTATTCGTATTGACGCGGTAGCGGACCATAATGGTCTTATAAGTGTTATGAAGGCAGTACCCCCCAATTATGGAGGGGTAATTCGCACTCTGACCAAATCCCCCCCATCCACTAAACCAGCAGGGGGTGCTGTGCAGTCGTTATATTACAACATAGCCACAGAGCGGTTTCATGGCCGTAAGGTAGTTACCTCTTCATGTTGCCCCTTAATCTCCATGCCTCCTGCTGACCTTGTTCGTTCAGCACAGAGGATGGCTTTAGCACAGCCAGTCCACTGCTTGCCTCACTAGACTATGGTTTGCCACTATGACTTCTACGCTTTCCAAAAGAGTGCTGGGATGACGGTAATATCACAGCCAATAAAAGGCCCACATTGACGCTTGGAGGGAAAGTAACAGCGTGGGTCCCCCCAGAATGGCCCCACAGGGCTGCTGTGAATGACGCCTGTGTGTTGCTTGCATTCCTGCCCTGCACATGCTCACGGCGACAGCCTCCAGAATACACGCCTAAAAACAGCCCAGCACGGCAAGCAGCTCTGCAGGCTATATCAGACAGACAGACAGACACACACACACACACACACACTGACCTGCTCTGCTAAAAGTGAGAATCTGCCCTGGGACTGACAGAATTAGACTTGCACAGGATTGACAGGTTCCCTGATCTATAATTGAGGGACATGAGCTGCTCCTGAGGGGGTCAAGTACGGGGGGAGGAATGCAACACTTTGGGCTACTAGGTGGAGTAAAGAGTGTCTGAGTCCTGGGCGCAGCAGGCAGGAACATGTTGGTTGTGGCAGGATGGGGTGAGGCTGTAAGCTACGTAGGGTGAAGCTAGAGCCAGCCGAAGGCGGAGTTACCCAGCAGAGCTCAGTGAATGTGATGTGGAGCGAGGTTTGAGGGAAGCCTGTTCTTTCCTCTCTCCTTTCCTGTCCCGCTCACTTCTCTCACTCACACTATGGAGCCTAACAACCCAAAGAAGATCCAGTTTGCTGTGCCACCCCACCAAAAGCAACTGGACCCGCAGGCTGCAGAGCAGGTGAGCAGGACAGGCTGCCTTGGGGACTGCAAGATCACAGGGAAACTGGTTTATCCAAGGGGGAAGTTGGTATTTGCAGTGGTGATATTGGTTTGTCCCAAGAGGAAGCTTATTTATACCATGGGAATAATGGTTTGTATGCCAGTGAGCTACATACAGAGAAGAATAGTCCAGAATGAGTTGAATGCTGATTCGTTCTGGACCCCACTGTAGGAGCTTGGCTGTATCTTGGCGTTTACCTCCACGGTAATGCATTAAGTAGCCTAAAGTCCACATTTGAAGAGACAGTCACCACTGTATTTGCTCTGTTTACACTCATTGGGGCTCATCCCCCCCAAGCCAATGAAAACCGAGCTTTGGGGTTGTGTGCTGCTAGCTCTGATAGTGTAGCATTTACATGTGTGAGAAAGAGGCAGCGCCGTTGTGTGAGTGGGTCCGAGGTCAGTCACTCTCACCTCCTGTCCCCCTAGATCCGCAGGAGACGACCCACACCAGCCTCCCTGGTGGTGTATGCCAACCCAGAGGCTGCAGGTAAAGGATGCCAGTCAGAATTTTCTCCACAGGAACCCCAAATGTCAGCTGCTCGTCTGGTGCCGTTAACATTCCAGGGAAGACGTCTGCTTAAAACTCTGGAATATGCTCACTGACCTCATATATGCACAGAAATGCACACAGACACACCTGGTACAGCCACAAACATTCGCTCACATTTTAACTGGCTTTAACCAGCTTTAACTTGTATCTTAATCCAGAGCATAATTGTTACTGTACCAACCTTTAAATCTCTAGATCAAGGGTCACCAACTTTTTTGAAACTGAGAGCTACTTCACAGGTACTGAGCCATATGAAGGGCTACCAGTTTTATACACTCTTCTTAAATCATGTATAATAAACATATTTAAATGCTTTTTTTTTAGATATTGTCACTATCAAATCTATATAAATACAAATGAGATTAATGAAGAATAGCAACAGGATAAAATTAAATTTTAGATGCTGCTCAATGGTGAGTTGGGCTATTTTTAGAACAGGTCCGCGGGCGACTCATGTGGTCCTTGGGGGCACCCTGGTGCCCGCGGGCACCATGTTGGTGACCTCTGCTCTAGACAAAAAGATGCCACTGTCCATCTCGCACAATTCTGCCATTCCCAACTGGATTATTATAATGTTGACATACTCAGTACTAGCACAGGAATTTACACGTGAGCATTGGAAGACACCACCATGTGTGTAAATGTATCCATCCCCAGATGCACAAGACAGCAGATGGATGGATATAAAGATGGATAGATTTTGGAGCCTGATGCTGTGGCTTTGTGATAAATTTTGCTGTTGGCTGTAAGTTTCTGTTGGTAGAAACCGCATGTTGGACCTGCTCTATTATTCTGTTCCGCTGCACAAGGTACCATACTTTTGGTGCTTCACTTTTTACTGCTGTAAAAACGGGTACCACTGCTAATAGACATCACAATAGATCAGGAACCAGTGTGCTGAACCAGAGTCACCCACTGTGTGGAGTAATGTGGGAGTATAAGAGTGACAGGCGGTCTGTAAAGTAACATGTGGGATTGTGGTAGTGACAGGCTCTCTACAGACCAATGCTAGAGAGTTTGAAGGCCAATTTATGCTTCAGTTTTTTGTGTGCAGTTTCAGTTGTCGAAGAGGAGACATAACGTAAATTTTGTCATCAGGGGGAGGCTGCATACAGCTTCAGTCGGTGCACATGTAGCCCAGATTTTTATGTCTAGTAGAAATCATGCACGTCCATAAGCACTGACTACGCAGATTTCCAGTAAGTGGCAGTGAGGACTTTCACAGATCAGCAATCAATAATAAAAGAGTAGAGGAAGAACAGTTGTTGTACTAGTTATGGTGACCAGCTATATGAGGAGGGTCAGAGGTATCCGCATGTCTAATTTTTCATACTGTCCAGACATTACATGTGTGAGAAAGAGGCAGCACCGTGGCGTGAGTGGGTTGATATACTACTGACAATAGTATTTTTAAAAGTAACCCTGTTCCAGCATTTTTAAATCTTGGCAATAAAATTCGCTAAGCAGGGTGTTTGTGTCTCAGACTTAACTGTATTTGACTCTCCCTGCCGGCCCCTGGAGGATGGGCTCCCCCTTTGAGTCTGGTCCCTCCCAAGGTTTCTTCCTTCTAGGGAGTTTTTCCTTGCCACTGTCGCCTATGGCTTACTCACTGGGGGCTTTGGGTGGGGATGCTGTAAAGCGCTTTCAGACAATGTAATGTAATAATGCGCTATACAAAAATAAATTTGTTGTTGTTGTGGTGGCGGTTTGGATTTTAATATAGTGCTGTATGTCATATTATGGTAGTACTGCCCAAGCATAGAATATTAACTTTTAAAACTGCTAAAAATTCACCTGTTTCACTGCCCTGTTTGTATTTGTGTTTGTTGCAATACATATGCCATTTCCTGGTCTCGTAGAAAAATCACTGCTGTATATGTGTACTGGCCGCAACCATCCACATCTGCCACCAAATGTAGTATAAGCGGAAGCTGTGCGCACAACCATCTGCAGCCTGAAAACACGAGCAGAAAAGTATGAATTGGCCTTGAGAGTGACAGGATCTCTGCAGAGTAACATGAGAGAGTGACTGAGAGAGTGACAAAATTTACATTTCAGCTCTGTTGGGAGGTCTACCCCCGAGGCTATGAGCCATGCAGTAATGACACTCTTCAGCATGAATGCAGTGCAGCTGTACCAGGACCCATTCCTCATGAGCACAGCAATCCTATACCTTGCTATTTACATCACCAAATGTTAGAGAGCAGACCTCATCAAGTGTTGGAGTGCAGGATGCCTTGTCTAAGCTGCCCCAGTTCCATCTGCTGTAGGTGCTGTGAGAGAGAGTCTTTGTTTAGGGGAGACACCATGGAACAAGCTGCTCTTTGTAGGACTAGAGCTGCCTCACACAGAGAAGCTCAGAGCTCGCCTGTGTTGCTGCACGGTGGGTGTCGATCTCATGAGCAGAGCATGCGGGTGCTTTCTGGGAATCTGCGGCAGACTCTCATGCTGATATGACACGTCTCTGTCAAAATAAGACTGCTTTTTGTCTGGTGCAGTGTGTATGGTAGCATTGTTTAAGACAAACTTAGATGCTAAAAACTCAAATGGCCTAATTGTCGGTGTTTGTTATAGATTACCTTATGTAGCTGCAGAGGAAAGCAGAATGCTATACAACCATATCAGGATTATGAGTAATAAAAATTATGTGGTAGTTATGGGTGATTTTAATTTACCTGGGATACAGTGGGACATAGTCTCTGGCTCTTCTGTAAATGAACTGGAGATGGTGAAACTGGTACAGGATTGCATTTTTACTCCGTTTGTTAAAGCTTCTACCAAGGAGAAGCCATTTTTCATTTTGTTTTCTGTAATAGCTAGTATAGGACTGGAAAATTAGAGGTTTTAGAACCACTTAACAGTAACGATCATAACATGATTAAATGTGAGGTTAATTTTACTGTCCGAAGAATCCAAAATAAAAATATACAATGTTAGGAAGGCTCATTTTAATGGTATGAGACTGAAACTAGAAACTGTAAACTAGATGGAGTTAAATAGCAAAACTGTTGAGGCATGGGAATATTTTAAAAGCACATTATTGTAAGTACAAGAGGACTTCCAACCAAGGTGGTTTACTATGTAAATGAAGAATAAAGTCAGGATGAAAAGGACTCTGTTCCACAATTGGAAAATAACTAATGATTTTAGAATAAAGCAGGAGTATCTAAGTCTACAAGTTGAGTTAAAGAATAACATTAGACTCGCTAAGAGGAATGTCGAAAGGAAGATTGCATTGTAGGCTCAGGATGACATTAAACATTTCTTCCAATTTTTTAACTCCAAAATAATCTGCAGGACAGTAAGGGTCTCATAATTGAAAATTAAATTGATATAGTAAATGAGTTTAATGATTGATTTACATGGGTATTCACTGTAGAGTAAACAAGTAACATACCAACTCATATTACTAATCCAGTGTCGTCTATGCCCAAAATATGCATAATTGAAGCTGATGTGCTACAAAGCCTAGCTGAGCTCAAAATAAATAAATCGCAGGGCCCTGATGGCATCTTACCTATAGTTTTAAAAGAGGTGAGGGATATTATTTGCCAAAATTTAACTTTACTATTTCAGAAATCCTTATCTACTGGTGTGCTACCTTCTGTTTGGAAGCATGCTAATATAATGCACATTAGGGGTGGGCGATATAACCAAAATCTTCTATCACGGCAATTTTCTACCTCGATAACGATATATATCACAATATAGCAATTTGTATCTGGAAATGCATAAATAAAAATTCAAACACAAAGAAACTGTTTTATATGATGTAATTTTATTTAAAATTGCAGCATTACTTTAAGTAAAAAAAACAACCATACTGTTTACTGCAATGTATTGTACTGCATTTTTTGACATATTCGTTTGGATGCTTGGATTTGAGATGATAGAAAAGGTTTGACGTGTTTCCACCGCTTGCTAAAACAGTGCTCTTGCATACCTTGCAAATCACGTTCGTCTCATTCGTATTCACTTTTCCTATACTCAAACCAATTCCACACCAGAGCATGTGAGCGGAGCGGAGCGGTGAGAATTTCCGCTCCTCGCTCACGAGGCTGTTGGCTCCGCCCGCTCCTCCGCTCTAATTCGCACTACGCCGCTCCGCTCAACACCGCTCCTCGCTCCACTAAAATGTCCTCCCGCTCCAGTCAAATCGCTCCACGCTCGCTCCAATTTAAAAGAGGGACAAATAATCTGCATGCCTAACAAATGTCACCTTAAACCGAAGCCTTATGTCATAAAGAAATATGAGCAACGGCAACATTGCCAGTCAGAACAGAAAATATTTATTTTTAAGCAACCTATCGGCAACAACGGACAGGTTTGGAAATGGCATTCCACACAAAAATAGGCTTAAAAATAAAGGAATCAGTGGGCTTAATAGCCTAAAGAATATACAGACACGTTTTAAATTCCTCAATTTTTTTCTGTTGATGCAGCACGTCTCTAAAATAACATTTTACGTTACGTGAAATAAAAAAAAAATCTTATTAGACCTACTTTGAATGACAAAACAAATTTATTTGATTACCAATATTTACTTTATAGGCTTTTATACTTTATAGACTTGATATGCTACAAGTTACAACCATATTGTCATGCTACGCCGGTGAGCGGGCGGGTGAACAGGATCACAGAGTCGGAGGTTCGGGGAAACGGGACTTTAATGATGACCAGGGCAGACAGGAAGGGACGACACGTAACAATACAATGACTAACCTAGGGATCACTGACTATGACAAGGACTAAATACACTAAACAAGCTGAGGAAAACGAGCAACAGGTGAGATCCATCAGGGAAGAACACGAGGTAATGAGGGGGGCGTGGCACACATCAGGATCGTACGGAGCGGGACGTGACACATATAAAACTTGCACGCGTTTTGCTCTGGCTTCCGCTTGTTCGCGTAGCACACTCATGTTTCTGAGAAAAGTGATTCCAAAGTGAATCTTTACTCACTGAAACAGTTTCACCACATTGTTGTTCTGCATAGATTTGGGCACGCCTCAGAATTGTAGTGTGAGCGGTATCGGAGCGAAATTGGAGCGA